TCTTCCTTTTCCTTGGCTCAATTCCACCGCTAGATGCAGATCCTTCAAAGCTTCTAACGACGGAACACAATAATCGAATTTCGTCTTTCTCGCACGCAAGTATATATGAAACTTTATTTTACATCGCAATATATTTTCGAAATACCTTCATCTCGATTCGCCAAACGTAATGCTTGTGCTTTGTCGTTTAGAATTGACGGTGATTCAGGCGCTTGCTTCAGAGCTTCGTCAAAAAGTCGAAACGACTCGTCAAAGTTCTTCGCTTCTGCGCAGATTATTGCCTTCTTCACGATTTCTGACGCATGCGGTTCCAAATGATCCTCCTCGGAATTATCCGTTGTCTCTTCTTAACGTGATATTGAAAAAAAGTAACAAGTTTTTTATATTAATATATCTTTTGCTGCGTAATTTATAAAAAGTTGAGTGGCAACGTCAACACGTGTAGCGCGCAAAACCTTGAGAGCTGTATAGTAATAAGAAAATTTATCTGTTATTGCGTCGCGTGGTCTTTTACATATTCATGACGATCTGGATATCTCGCGTGAGAACAAACCGCTAGGACACACTTCTGCGCCAGACGAATGCGGTTACCTACGGGCTTTAAGTACTTGCAGATTTTTCGAACAATCCGACGAGTTTGCGGTTTCGAGTCGAGTTTAACTAGTGCGACAAGTCGCGATTTTGCGCCGTCATTAAAACCGAACGCCAATTTCAACTTTGAGGATCACGCAGCGAAGTAACAAATATTCAAAGCATTATCATTCGCGTTATTATAGATACATATATACCCTCGAAAAATATTTAAAGAAATTTTGAAATATATTTTTCATCGATTACGAATGCGATTTGTCAATATTAAATTTATTACAATATTATATATTGATATATTCATAACTTTATGAAATTTTTATTTTATTAGGTACTCTAATGTAAAGTACTGTAGTAATGTAGTTGTCATTATTGTCTATATTATGTATTATCTTGCGTCACATACCAATTTGTTTTGAAAAATCAGACAGACCAAGTGAATGAAGCGGATCGAAAATTGTGTTCAAAATAGCTCTGTCGCCTTCACTAAGACCCTCCATGATGTCGACTGAATTCTTCCGTGGAGCCTGCCGTTTTCCCCGTGATCGACGGAAACTCGTTTCTGTTTATCGTGAATTAATCGTGTTGCGTCACGAACCGATACGGAATGTCATCCAGCTGGCGTGTTCAGATTAGTAGCGGGAATTGTATTTTACATACAAATACAGTGCATAGATTTCCCAGCGACTGCTACTCTTGGCTTGGTCGATCGCGCAAATCTTGTATAGCGTAAACATTAATTAATACGTTATCGATAATAAATATCAAATGTCAATAAATCTTTACACACATCGCGGGATTCAGCGATATTATCCGTATTTAATAACCGCATCGCATCGCTAAAGAAACAAAAATACCGGCCAACTCTTAATCATGACAAATTAATAACTTAAATTTAAATTTGATTCAATGCGTTATTACGCAAAAAATATCGATAATAAAAGCCGAGGAGAAGGAAAAGGAGTCTCATAGGATCATTAATTTCGGGCGTCCCTCGTAAAATGTGCTCGCGCGAGTAAGCGGGTATCCGGGCAAACGACAGCTGGACGCCAATGTCGTCGTGTTTCCCGTGGACCGTCGTAACAGTAAACGCGCGTTGTGTTTAATGTCCAGCGGATTATTTCTTTCGCAATTCAATGAGATGGGCGTAACCAGTCGGGGGAAGAAACCGAGCCGGTTTTTCGACGAAAATCCATGGGCTATGGGGACTCTGACTCTGATGTCCTCGTTATCCAGATGCAAACGCGCGATTTTTCGCGATTCCCCGTGACACTCCTCGCGAGTGCCGCGACTTTACCGTTATCGAGGACTGTTAAACTCGTCGTCGGCGCGCTTTCCCACGAGTAAGAGCGAACCGAGGAAGCGCCGCGACGAGGGATCTTCTCCGTGAAAGCGTGGACAGCGGTACCTCAAACGAGCTTCTGATTCGGTGAAGATGATCGTAAGATCGCCTTCCTTTCCGATATCCAACGATAATTTACGATTCAGAATCTGGATCGTGTAATTGCCAGTGAACTCTTTCGCATCATTTTTTCTTTTTACCATTCGCATGCTTCTTCGAATCTTTGAAAATAATCTGAGAAATCTAGATCGATATCTCGCACGTTTTAATGCATACTTAAAGCAGTCTTTGAAATCTTGTACGATACTTTCTTTTTTTATGATATATATTCCTAATATCTTCAATAATTTTTTTTTCTCTTTTTCGAAAAACCGTGATGCTACACTTTACGATTCAATTTAAAATTACCGAAATAAATTTTCTACTTAAATTTTTGCAAATCTTAGTCGGAAGTTATACATCCAAAGAATTAAATGTAATATGCAATAAAATTGCGATTCGATACATTTTTCTTATTTTTCTCAAAGAATATTTAAATAATATGATAGTTTTAAAATTAATTCCGTATAAATTAAAGTCAAAGCGGTCTTTGAAATCTTTTACGATATTTTCTTTTTTTATGACATATATTTCTAATATCTTCAATTAATTTTTTTTTCTCTTTTTCGAAAAACCGTGATGCTACACTTTACGATTCAATTTAAAATTACCGAAATAAATTTTCTACTTAAATTTTTGCAAATCTTAGTCGGAAGTTATACATCCAAAGAATTAAATGTAATATGCAATAAAATTGCGATTCGATACATTTTTCTTATTTTTCTCAAAGAATATTTAAATAATATAATAATTTTAAAATTAATTCCGTATAAATTAAAGGCACGCTACACGAGCATAAGAAAATAACGACGTTATAGCGAGCACCTCGTAGAAATCGTAGATGCAATGTCAGCGCGATAATCAGGCGGATGAACCTCTCTGGTCCAGCGCGAGGCGAGACGTATCGCGATAACCTCGCGGAAGGTGGGTCGCAAAAAATGCAACGCGGTTCAAGCGTATTACAATACTGCCGTGTCGTAATGGAATAAATATTTCATTTCGCGGGGGCTACACGAGAGAGCCTACGTGTACGATCGCGGGGCCCCGTCCTGCGTTTTTCCCCCGGGCGTGCCGGCGCGGTGGCGATGCTCACGTCTCGCGCTCGGGCCGAAGGGGTCCCATCACGACGGCGAACTTAACGGCCCATAATTCATTGCCGACGTATAATAAATATCGTTAGTCCGTCGTGAGCGCACGTAGACACGCGGGGTACGAACAGGGGGCCCCTTGCGATTTTACATCCGCGCGCGCGCGCGTGTATTTCTCTCCCGCATATCTCTGACATCCCGTTTCGATAAAACCGATGATACCGCGTCAATTTCGCTATCCAGCGAATTGTACGAATCAATATCAAAGGGAGACACATGGTAAGAGTAAAGGGTTAATCGGCTTCTCGGTCAGAGGCCAGAGGATTCGAAGCGTTATTTGAGTAAATCAGGGACCTCTGGGAAAGCTCAAGGACGATCCGCTAATAATGCAAATTGGGACTACGTGGCGTTTAATTACAGCGCGCTCATTCTAGTTATCCTAATATTTGCAGAGCTTCTCCAATTTTAGCTGGCTACACGGTGTGCATGAAAACATTCGTTTATTATATTCCAAATCAAAAATACAATTTTTATTACACATATTAATAGCTATGTGTTAACCAAGTTTCTTCAAAATTTAAAAAAATTAAAAAATGGCGGCATGTTGAAAAAGTTTCATTTAAAAAAAAAAAAAATTCTTTTTTGTTTATAAAAAAAATGGTGCCCCAGTTTTCATGCACACTATGCATGAAAATATAAATCTGCAAATATTTGCAAAACATTAAAAAAAAAATTTTTTAAGCTGAACATTTTTATTTAAGTTCTTAATAATATTGTATTAACATCGTAAAAAAAAATTAAAAGTTTTTATCAAGTCGTTGCGCTGCAAAAAAAAATCTCGAAAATATCATTTTTCGAGAGTTCAAACGGGTATGCTCCCTTAATATTGTATTATCTGATGAAAAAAAAAAAAAAAAAAAAACATTCCAAGGGCGGACGATCGTTTCGGAATTTTACGAGATCATTACGCGGCGCAGCTGCATCCTATGCAATGTAGATGCATCCCGCTGCTGCAATCTCGTACATCCTCGGGCGAGCGAGAGGGCCGATGGAATTTCAAATGAGGATGCGGTTGTGCGCGTACGAAATCGTCAGGAAGGATTTTCGTCAGGATGCGGCGCGTAATCGGTCCCCGAGAGGGGACCGTCCGAGCCGTAGACGTCGCGGTGGCATTAAAATCGCCGAAGGAGAGCGGGAAGAGGGGGATCGGGCGAGGAGGCGACGAGAGAATCCACCGAAAATAAAACCGCTAAAGATCGGGTCTTCTCTCGGCACGACCCAACCGTCGCGGTCGGTTTGCGGTCGTCCAACAGGGAAAAAAGGACTTTCCCTTTCGCCTCCTCTTCGTCCGTCCCTTATCGTTCTTTCCCGATCCCGCGCGAAGGAAAGCATCTCCTCCAGCGAGCGCGGACAGTCGGATTTATATTCAAATGAATCCGCGATGGAAGCCTCGATTTATCGAACCCCGTAGCTCGCAGATGGGAAAGGGGGAAGGAAAATCAAAGGGTTAAGTTACGAGAGAGGTAGGATGCGCCTAAGGGCCAAGTTCCTTTCTTCGATCGCTTCAACACATCGTTGCTGCTCGCGGGCTACGATCTCTCCGAGTCGAAGATTATATAACGAGCCCGTCTTCCTCGGAATTTCAAATTTCATTTTTATGATTATGTCTTCTAATTATATACGCTCCAAACTAGCGGCACATCGTCGAAACGCGCGCGTTAATATGTATTCACATATTTAATTCGCGAGCAGCGGACGTTGTCGCAATAACGGGAACAGCGCTAAATTTTGAAGCAACGGTGATAACGCGATAAAAATTTGCGAGCAAAGTTTTTCAACAGCGTAATTATCGACACGACCGTGTCCTCCTCTCGCATGCCTTTATTTAGCTTTAGTCGAAACCGGTTGCATTGTGGGGGGGGGGGGTCGAGGAACAGCGGCATCGAATTTATGGAGCACATACGCAATATTTATGCGCGATATTTATGATCATAAGAAGAAGACCCGGCCCTTTCGTGTGCGCGCGGTACACGCCTTCCTCTCGTCGACTTCCCCGATACGACTCCGGCGGCGAGCTTTCGGCCTTGGCCGGTCTAAGAAAAGTTTCTTGAATAATGCGCGCCGTTCTCCGTGTATCGACGGATGTGAAACACACGGCGGTATGGTGCATCGCCGCTGCGTTTGCTTTATTTCTGGCGACAATCACGCTCGGGTATTATATGGCGGCCGCGCGTACAAATTGCAGCCGAGATTAATACGGTGAAATTATCCTCTCTCTGCTTCGGAAGAGAGAGAGGAACGCCAGGGATTCGGCGCGCCGCAATTTTAAGGTTCCTCTAAGACGAAGGAAGGAATTTCGCACGGCCGAATGAAGCAGAGACGACCGACGATTTCTTCCAGCCGGAAATTTTTCGCCGACGTGACGTCGCACCTGGCTTGGTAAATCTGATTATTTTGGTCTGCGTTTTACGCGTAAAATATTATTTAGTTATTCGTTTCCAACACGCTGGGTCTGATGAATTTCTAAATAAGAAGTATCTCTCCCTATGTCAAGTATATATAATTTATGCACACATAATATTTTAATAATTTTTTTGTGATAACAATAACAGGGTGTCTATTTAAATCCTATAAAAAAGTTCTCTGATCTTCCAGGTATTTTTATTCAAAATTCCAGATAAAGAGAATATTTGAAATACTTTTTGATGCAACTTCCAAAAATAAGTTTTTTTTATTGTACGCGCTTTCTAATGCTTGGCCGGTCTAAGAAAAGTTTCTTGAATAATGCGCGCCGTTCTCCGTGTATCGACGGATGTGAAACACACGGCGGTATGGTGCATCGCCGCTGCGTTTGCTTTATTTCTGGCGACAATCACGCTCGGGTATTATATGGCGGCCGCGCGTACAAATTGCAGCCGAGATTAATACGGTGAAATTATTACGATCGTTATATTCTCCTCCTCCCAAGACTTTTATACATTGCCTATTTTATAAGACGATATAGCGCCATTGTTTTCCTTGACAATTTAATATCGATTAATAGATATTCAGAAAAGGATAGTCACACAGCGAAATATTCTTATCAACTTTTATCGCACGTGAACTCGTCATTTCATTCCAGTTTAAGGGGGCATACCCGTTTGAACCTTTGAAAAATGAGTATATTTTTTAGATTTTTTGCAGCGTAACGATTTGATAAAAACTTTTTATTTTTTTACGATATTATTCAGTATACGATATTATTAAGTAATAATAATATTATTATTATTAAGTA